CTCCAACTGCTATTTATCGTGTTGGTAAACATCGAGGTAAGAGGTGCATGTACAAGCGCACGTGGAATATGTTTGGTAAATACAATTATTGTTTTAAAAGATTTGACATCACTGAAGGATTTTGCAAAGTAATCGCTGCATTCTTTGATTATGTTATTCTACTAAAGCAAAAGCATGTAAGCCAAAACAGAAAGCTTGATCCCATCACTTTGACAATATAGTTTATTCAAATTCTTGCCAACAAATAAAACAATGATATTCCTAACCTGCTATGTTAGCAAAAAAAAATTTCCAGGAAAGATACGGATCTCATATATCGTGATGTTCTTGACATTTTCCATTTTACAGTTATGCTATATGTGTGTGTCGTATATTGTCGTCTGTAACAGAGGTGAAGATTATCGCTAATTAACAGACAATTATCATCCTGGTGTTATAGATACAAACATTGTCGAACAAAAGCTAATGCTAATGAGTTTATTTCTATATATGTATGTGATAAATCTGTAATATACACAAATTAACACGTTTTATATAACTCCGCCGCGAGTTGTACGGTTCAAAGAACATATATACAGAAGGTAATTGTAAGTGTCCTTCACAATGATACTGTCATTCTACACATTGTGATTTTAAACAAATCCTAACAACAGCTAGTGATTAATATACTTTCGGAATAATCACAATGAAAATAATTCGAGGTGTTTCGAAAGGGTAAGCGCCCTCTTCTTCAACGACAACATTCGCAATCTAATATAATCAATACTTGAAAATATTTCTTGTGACTTTTTTTGTTATTCAATTTCTTTCGGCAAAACCAAGGTCAACGTTATTGTAGATAGATCCCCTGTTACATATCACAGTTGTCTTTAAACGAGACTCTTTATTTTACATCGTCATGGTCGATAAGCAAAATTTCTTCCTATTTGAAAACACGAAATCTTAGCGACCAGTGCATGGGTTGTTGTTCAGACACCGTTTTAAATCATTCACAACCACGTGGCAATGTTAGTCAGACATTGAAAGGAAGAACCTTTTATTAACCTATGCGTTTGTAAATGTTCACCGTTTTCTGAGACAACCAAAAATTCAAGAATATTTTGAAAATGGCTGCCACCTGGCGAGATTTTCATTTTTTCACAGCTATAACAAAAACTCGATCGAAATTTTGTGACGTAAGGCATTTTCGAAGATGTGTTTGAACATGTTACATGATCGTCGGATTAAAACGAGGGTAGGTCGCTTTAAGCCCCTCGTGTTAACGTTGCTTTCGTGTGAAAATATGATGAATTTATGTTAAAACTTCAAATTATAAAATGATAGTGAATGTGTGAAATGTGGTATTTTATTAAAAATTTATTTCATGAAAACTAACGGTAAGAGATAGTTAATGTATGGTTATCCATCTTGGTTCGACTAGAGAATGTCAGAATGGGTCGTCACTGCGTGTTAACATATAACTGAATCGTACGGTCTGAATATTTAGGATTCCCCTTGTTGATTTTTTTTTCTATCGATATTTCGGCATAAATTGTTCACACAGAGTATCTCACAAAGTTTTCGTTTTTCCTCTTAAAAAATGAAAGAAAAATTTGACTGGATCACCCCTTTATCGGTTGCTGTGAAATCTGAAACGTGGTCACAGCGATGACATTGTACACAGTAATTTGTTATTTTGATATGCTGGAGTCGTTGTTAGGAAGCTTACGGTCACTGTTAATCAATATAACGTAATTTCTCTAAAACGTGGGGTTTTTTACCAAATCATCATAAAAATTCAAAATTAAGTGTTCACAAGCATCTCTTGTCGTTCGAGTTGGTGTATTGATTCTCTGGGTCAAAGATTTCACCATTACTTTAGATGTGATGATGACGTTATTACTGTTCATGCTATTTCTCACCCAATCATTACAAAAAAAAAAACAAAAACAAAAAAATGTAAGTGCTTACATGAAATATAAAATAAGGTCAATGATACCTTAATTATGTTTTGACGTCATCAGTTTAATTTTCCTATCAGATTATCAGAAAATGTTTTCGGAGACTGAATTACTCTGTTCAGTGTCCGGAGGAAAGCATAACGCTTGAAAGTTTTTTCTTACATTTGGAAATTAAAGTTATGAAATTAGACATTTCTCTGTTATACGAGTCGATTTAAACGTTAATCACATTAAAAATAAATTATAATTATTTTACAACAACTGCAAGTTTTTCCAACTTATATTAGTCACTTTTCTTGACTCTGATGGAAGCGCGAGAGGGGTCTTAGTGTGGGAGGAAACCGGAGTACCCGAGAAAAACCCACGTGGTCTGGCAGGTGACCCTATACCTTTTCACATCCGTTCCGGGTATCGAACCCCGGAAGGCTAGGTGAAAGGTAAGTGCGTTACCACTGCACCAGCCACCAAATGACATAAATGAAAAAAAAAGCAAAACAAAAACAAAAAACAAAACCAAAATCTAAAAAGTAACGTTATAGTAGTAAAAATGAACAAATAAAACGAAAACAAAAAATGGCACGTATATTTAGGTTTTTTAGGTGGTCGCCTCGCGCGGCGGTAACGTGGACGCCTTTCACCGAGGCGTCCGGAGTTCGGTCCCGGACCAGAATGGACCTGAAAGTGTCTTCTGTCCTACCACGTGGGATGTCTTCGGATACTCAAATTACCTTCCACAGTAAGACTGTTTGTGCGCTTCCACCCGGCCCAACAAGAGTGATCTATATAGTTGTAATTATTGTAAAATAAATATTTGTACTATTATCATTTTTTGTAATGTTACATGAAATAAAGGTAATGCGATTTGCGTTAGTATACTGGTAACCGAAGTTGGCGTTGATCGTCACTGAGAGAGTGAAAAATATCAGCGCGTATTTTATTTTCACGCAATAATATTGATCATTTTCTCTTGGGATCACCAGCTGATATGTTTGAACTTGTCATATGGTCAGTTTGAACAAACAGTTTGGTCAACAGTGTCTAAAATCCCAGGGGGTATCAACATTTCGACGATTCCTATCCGTCAACTCGACAAAACCCGCGCGGTAAGTTATACACAGAAAATAGACTCTTTGTCAACTCTCCACAGTTCCATTTAAACTGCGTGATGTGCTAATGACAATAATTACCGGGAGTGAGGATTCCCGCTATTTTTGGTGAAAGAGGTGCAAATGGGATAAATACATGTTTCAAGATTATCCACAGTTAAATCCTGGGTAAGCCTTTACGAAAATTGTAATTTTGTTTGACCTCCATACAACATTATGCTTGAAGTAAATCATCGAAATACCATACGGGAGCATCCCGAAGGTTGAAGGCAGACGACAGGTGTGAATTTCATTGATTACACTTCACGTCTCATTTACTGGAGCTTTGGCAAATGACAATTATATATATAAATATATCTATATACAAGGCCATCAAAACTAGAGCACAGTCATAACTTTATTGATGCTATTAGTGTAATTAAGAGATGTGACTTATTCATGTTTTCACAACTATTTTCACTATACATTGTGTGTCACCAATTTCCCAAAAGTTTTACAAACTATTTTCCACCATTTCAAATATCGTTCAGGTGCCTTAAACTTTTACTTACTTATAAATACATATTTTGATTTCAAAATGGAAACGACTTACTTTTAAGTTCAACAACTACAGGGAAAATATTAACAAATTCAAAAACTTAATAATTTTAAAATGCTATCGTTTAAAAATTTGCATCAATCATATGCGGTAAAAACAGCGAAATGGAATAATTTGTGAGTAGAACCAACGAAACCATTGATGAACTTTGCTTCAAAGATATTATACATCAAACAAAAAGCTTGTTACATCATTTGTATCCATGTTGAAATGGTTGTGTTGCTGAGCATATTGTCTTCAAATAAAAAGCTTTAAAACAATCCTTGTGGGGAATCAGATCTTTGGAGCGATATTATGGCAGTATTGATCCATAAAGTGCTAAACACTATTAACACGTGCAGAAAACTTCATTTTAGTGATTGTTTATTTGATAAGATTTATTCATTTTTTTTATTGTTGCTGTACGTCCTTTAAACAGCCAGGATAATTTTATAACGTACCTGGTGACTACACCAAGGAGGCTTCAAACCTGCGAACCAGAGGTCTGAGGGCAAATGATACGATATCAAATAATCCATTTAATGTGAGTTATTACACTGTTTAACTCACATCTTTACCTCTTCGTGTATGTTATTGTAACTGTACATGTAGTAGAACAAAGTCACGTGTGTTAACGAGTCACGAGTCCATTCACATGTATCTTTACACTTAAAGGTCATGACGCAAACACGTGACCATACCGACTCTGTTAAAGCTGAACATCAAGTAAGGAACGGTAAAATTATTTCAGTTTCACAAGCTTTTGTTTGACGGTGTTCGTTCTAGCGGATGGTTCATCTGATAACGACGTCGACGTCACCTCCTACTATTCACCCGAAGACGACGTAACTTCCTATAGTTCACCCGACGTCGACGTCACTTCCTACTATTCACCCGAAGACGACGTCACTTCCTACTTTTCACCCGACGTCGACGTCACTTCCTACTATTCACCCGAAGACGACGTCACTTCCTACTTTTCACCCGACGTCGACGCCACCTCCTACTATTCACCCCATGACGACGTCACCTCCTACTATTCACCCCATGACGACGTCACTTCCTGCTATTCACCCCATGACGACGTCACTTCCTACTATTCACCCGAAGACGACGTCACTTCCTACTTTTCACCCGACGTCGACGTCACTTCCTACTATTCACCCCATGACGAAGTCACCTCCTACTATTCACCCCATGACGAAGTCACCTCCTACTATTCACCCCATGACGACGTCACCTCCTACTATTCACCCCATGACGACGTCACTTCCTACTATTCACCCCATGACGACGTCACTTCCTACTAATCACCCGAAGACGACGTCACCTCCTACTATTTACCCGATGAAGACGTCACTTCCTACTATTCACCCCATGACGAAGTCACCTCCTACTATTCACCCCATGACGAAGTCACCTCCTACTATTTACCCGATGACGACGTCACCTCCTACTATTCACCCGATGACGACTTCACCTCCGATGATTCCACAGATGGCGATGTCACCTCCTACTATTCACCCGATGACGACGTCACCTCCGATGATTCAACAGATGGCGATGTCACCTTCTACTATTCACCCCATGACGACGTCACTTCCTACTATATACCCGATGACGACGTCACCTCCGATGATTGCACAGATGGCGATGTCACCTCCTACTATTCACCCGATGACGACGTCACCTCCGATGATTCCACAGATGGCGATGTCACCTCCTACTATTCACCCGATGACGACGTCACCTCCGATGATTCCACAGATGGCGACGTCGCATTCTATGATCCACCATGGAGACAGCAAGTTCATTTCTTTCGTCCCTGTCTATGTAGATGGATTACCAATGTAGGTATCTGAAGTTGGGATAATCAAAATAATTATAAACATGATTCGAAATAGTATCATTAAAGAATTAACAGAACTGGTTGAATAAGAACCTCCAATGTTTTCAAGATTTGAATTTAGAATGTACATTGAAATGCGTTTTTATACATTAAGGAAAAGCTATTCTGGGAGTTCCCAAAGTTACTTTCCGGTTCAGAATCTAGTGCATGCCTGGGGTAGATAAAGGAGTATTCTGAGTAGAAAAACGAGTATATGCTGTGTCTTTCGTTGTACGACAAATTGCTCATTTTCTGTGTATCAAGTGTCTTTTAGGATGCAGTGATATATATACGCAGGGTGTATCAATTACAGAAAAAGACACACCTATCTCCTATGATTCACTATAGGCGACACAAACCATACAGTTGATATGACAAATGTTTTGTGAATTTAATGTCTCGCAAAAAAACAAAACGTACAATAAGAAAGGAACTCGTCAACTTAAGATTTTAGTAAAACAATAAAAAAAAACAAATCATTCCCTCACTGAAAACTGCTTTATATGTGTCCAACAGATCTAGGGCCGTGATAAGACATTTTTATGAACTAGTTTTATATTTTTATGGTTGTTGCCACTTTTATGCCCGAGATGAGAATTAGGTGGCAAGTAAAGGAGATGAGCGGATATATCTATGTAACTCCTGTTGTCTGTAGAGGTTTCTTGTTTATGTCAGTTTTCTCGTCATGTGACCTCCACGTGTCCTTCCCGTGAAGCCCAAGTCGGAAAAAATACTTATATTGATTAATCACTAGGAGGCGCTTTTCATAAGAAGTTGACATTTGACATACAAAAAGTCGATAATACGTTTTGATTGGCCGTTTGTTTTATATTTACCGTTTCGAAAAAAAATTCAATGATTAAAGATATATTCCGGGGAAACTGGCAAATTTCTGGATGTTCTATCAAAGACGGTATTGTTAGCATCAAAACATACTTCCTTGCGACAGATTGGGGAAATTTATGGTAATACCCCCGGTCAATGAAACAAATATAGATATATACATGTATAACGATAACATCGCGCCGTCAAAAATTACGTTTATTAGTGTAAATGTGATACAATCAAAACCATTTGTAGATTGATGTAGATCTATGTAGAATTTCTACAAATTGAACGTCGTAAATGTTGCTGTTTTTTAGGTATACTATTTCTATAGGAACATAAGTATTATCAAAATGTACAAGACAGCATCTTACACAATTTTCCCTGGAATATCCGTAGTATCATTTTAAGGGAAAGAACAAATATTGCTAAAAGTGCTATCAATTCAATCGAAATCTTGTTAAAATATTGGACAATATAAAAGAGTTATTCGTTCATCCATGCCCTCAAGGAGATAACACAGAGAATTTAACGAAGGTTATTTAGTGGACGAGATTGCTTTCCTGCGTTCATTTCAATCAAGTATTTGTTGAAATTTTACCTCTTGGTGTTTAGTGCTGAATTAACCGTTCATCATCAAACTTAATTTAAAGGCCGAAACATGTTGGCAATACCTTCCCTTCATATATCACTTTACTCTGATTGTTTTGAATAATATGCGACGGACCTTCCGTATGTTGTTCCTTGAGATAACTACCAGCTACTACCAGGAGACTCCGCTTCACTACGACCCTGGCTGTTCACGGGGCAATAAACCCAGTGAAATATCATATCTATTACATTAAAACATACTATATGTGTATTCTAGTTTCTGAATTTAAGTTCATAATCGAGGTTTGACAGATCAAAACATCTTTGAAGGTATTTGAAATAAAATATCAACATTTCCATGACCTCTTTATTGGCACTGCTCTATAATAAGCTTATGATAAAAGATATTCTTAAAAGTTGCACGCATCTTCAGGACACACACCAAGTAAATCTGGACTGCTTATAAGCACGGGTATATAACACGTCTAGTTAATACTCGGGGTCATTGTTAGGCGGTGTTTTTTTAACTTACCGTAGCTGATGATTTCATAACTGAACACCATATGAGAGGACCGCCACATAATGTCAAAAACAATTGGGGTACTTGTTGACTTGCCGTTAGGTACAACCCAAGGTTACAAAGTTTTATTCATGTACTCTGTTGACTTAAAACAGGCATTAGAATAATTTGAACAGCATGTATGTATCTACCAGTAAATTTGCGTCAAAATTTCGCCGATGACTAAATTAAATGAAATATTTGTGGACAAGAATACGCTATGAAGCAGGATTCTCATTTTATTCGCAATGTAGTCCTGCTTTCCGACCAAATGCTGACTAGGTGTCTTCTTGTACGATTCCTTGATAAATTTTCACAGTAGTAGAAACGTATTGAGCGCAAAAGAACAAACAGGGAGAAGAGAAACGTGATGATGATGAGGAGAGGAAGGTGATGATGATGAGGAGGACTGAGAGAAAAACCACAACGACGTGAAGAAATTGCATCAAAGATGTCCATAACAGCGGTGATTGATGAGGCAGTATGTATCATCTATTTTCTATAGAGATATAAATTCATGGACAACCAATAAGTCATTAATATACATCATCCACCAAAGTTCAACAAGTCGTATCAGTTCTGAAAATAACCACAAAACAGTAAGTTATTGTCCCTAAACATTTTTTCCGGTACGGTACCACAGCCACGCGCTGGAGGTGTCCATCCTGGTCCGACCGAGGCACACGGCATAAGTGTTGCCTAAATTCTTAGTTTCTCTCAAAATCGTTTGTCTGTTAACTAACAGTCGCTTAAACACCCTCTTTTTCTCTGTGACGACGTGAAACATGAATAGATACCAAAACATCGAAATACATTATTTTGTAAAACATTTGCGAGGGATAATGCATCACCTTGGGGACTAAAGTAGTTTTTATTAATATATTGCTAAAAATTGCTGAACACTGATTTGGTGGAAGAAAATACTCAAAACTCTCGAAACCATTTGTTCACAATAAAATTGTCAATTTATGAAAATTTCTTCTGCGCATGCGTACATTATATTGTTTAGAAATACAATTGGGACATAGATGTATATATATCAAGTGAAGTGTAATTTGATTTCACTGTCTAGGAAGCCGATTTTACTACTTAATTTGTCCGCGACATTTTTTTCGTCCATTTGATTTGATTTGAATGTGTTTATTTCTGTCAAAGTATGGCTGGCATTCAAGTCAAAAGTTTGTTGGTGTAGGCTGATTGCTCATATGTGAATTACAGTTTACAGTGCATATTTACACGGGGGAGTAACGACACTCCCATAAAACAGAAAAAAACTTCCACACATTATGCTCAATAATGTATATAAAACTGTTGCCTCGTCATTGAATATAAAATGTCACGTTTTGATGTATCGGTATAAGTTTCGTCTCATTAACGTTCAAAATTAAGTCATCAGAAAAATACATCTACACACGTGCTCTGATAACTTACTACTTTAAAGGTTTAGATGGAGATTACAGAGCTCCACAACCTCTGACAGGCAACAATGACTGTATTTTGCATACAACTTCAGCAACATGGAGCAACCTCTAAGTAACTACCAAGAATTTGAATACTGTCAAAACTCCCGAATACACTATCGCCTTGATAGTCTCCTCACATTAAACTTATAAATTGTCGTATCCTTCCTAACCACGACCTTTATCATCTGAACCTGACAGAATCTCATTTTTATGCCGGTGGCCATCGTCGTAAACCTCGGGCTCCAAATGAGTTACCAACGGTGATCTGTGAGCACCCCTTTGTAAACTGCATTTTTTCTCATATGTCCAATTTACATCCTATCTACCTGGAATTATTTTTGTCTGGAAATGCAGACCTGTCAAATCTAGACACTATGCGGTCGAGTGACGCAGTAGTAAAGCATGCACTCATCTTTCACCTCGACGTTCGGGGTTTGATTCCCGGAAAGGTCGTGAAAAGGGTACCTTGGTTTCCTTCCAGACTAAGGCCCCTTACACCCAGGGCAAAAACAGTGATTAATATAAGCCAAGAGTCTCGAAATGGTTGTAAAATAAATAAAGTTTATATTTATTTGAGAATGAAGATATTTTAGAATTAATCAGATAATTATTCAAACGATTTGTTTAATGTTTAATTGTCGTCATTATACGGAGGACCAAACACTTTATTTTCCATTGTCTAATATGAAATGTTTAAAGGAAAGTAATATTTACACACTTATTATGGTACACAAAAATTACATATGAAAGCCTTTTGTATGGTGATAATTCTTCAGATATAGAATCAAATAAAAGCTTTTGTAAGCGTATTCAAAACTTTATTGTTGACAGTAAAATATTAAAATACAGGTCAATATATATCTGTCTAGTTGTTGACTCCTACATATTTCTTTTCTAATTATGTCTCTTTTTTCTATTTTTCTTACGTATTTCTACTCAATCACCTCTCTCCCGAATCTTTCTCACTGTTCCGGGTATCTCCATTATTGATATCAATGATTTCACAAAACATGTTATCGTAAAACTGACGAAAAAAACCTCTACATGACTCATTGGTAAGTATATGTAGAAGGAATAGGTTTGACCAGAGAAAAGACTTAACGGTAAACTGATAAGTATATCTAGAAGGAATAGGTTTGACCAGAGAAAGGACCTAACAGTTCGTTGGTAAGTATATGTAGAAGGAATAGGTTTGTCCAGAGAAAGGACTAAATGGTACATTGATAATTATACTTCGAAGGAATAGGTTGGACCAAGAAAGGACCTAACGATACGTAGGTAAGTATAAATTAAAGGAACATGAAGGGTCGGATTGTGAATAGTTTGACTACGTATATTGGTGATGTGGATTGGTTTTTTAGCTTCATGCAGGCTGAATTACAAATTTGACATTTACAGAAAACGAACCACTGTGAAAATTATATTCCACAATTTCCATTCCCCATTGTTTTGACTTTTTTCTTATTTTTTTGTTTTTTTGTTTTGTCTTTCCAAATTCCCCCTTTTTTCCTTGTTGTTTGATAG